TTTATGTAGGAAGAGCGCATCTCAACAGGGTATTCTCCCGTTTGTTTAATGAGCTTACATGCGTTTCCTTTGCCCGTGCAGGCTGCTCGGGGTGCCTGTTAGTCATGAATTTAGGGTGCTTCATGGCAGTTGTTGTACAACTCCAGCTGTTGCTTGAATGTACACAAAGGCATGCAGTTGGTGCACAAGCAACTGGGTGATGGGACACCTCCTATTGCTAAAATAGTTCTTTAGTGATGCTTGCATTTTCTTAATATCACAGCCCCCTCTAAATGACTATTGCTCTTGTCCAGACTGGGTCCAGCACTAATAAGGATCTGGAAGAGCAGCTCTAGCCCTGGCAGGTTCAGCTCAGTCTAGTCCTGCTTGCAGCTTGACTCCTGAGAAATGGAAGACTTGAGAGAATCCCATGTTTTTTACAATGGGTTTTGTGTAGACATTTCATGTAATGGGCAAGAACTGAAAGAGAATGTCAACCCATCAGAGAGGTTTAATGTGCTTTCCTGGGGCTGAGCACATGATCAGGAAAACAATCACAGTCCTGAATGAGCAGAGCAGCCCTGCCCTCTGAAAAAGCATTATAGTTAGTTAACACCTGTCTGGTGCTATAACACCCCATTCCATTTTTACGGAGGCAGTTTGATGACAGACTAAAGAACAAAAGATTAAGATACACACATTTAAACTCTTCAAATGTTTAACTAGCAGTCAGTGACAGAAAAAATAAACACTTTGAACATTTGAGAAATTAACTTTTAATCTGCAGGAAACAGGATTTGTTTTGATAGCTCTTCAACATATTTACGGCTTAATACTTTTGGATTAAAAACATATCAAATGTAAATCAATCTTAATGTCTATCCAGGTCGCTGAGAGATCTGTTTAGTCCCCACAGCATAGACATAATGAAAGGAACTGGAAGTTTACTCAGAAAAAGACATTTCATAAGGAAAACCTTTCTTTGTTTGCTTACAAAGTTAGTTTACATTTCCTTTTTTTCACAAAACAAAAC